CACACACACACACACACACACACACACACACACACACACACACACACATCCAGCCAGTCTGTAAATGGCTTGGTCCTGTATCTAAAATATACCCATTATCATCAACCATCACCACCTCAGTCACTCCCACCCTGGTCCAAGTCACTTGGGAGGCTCACAGGATCTGCCCTCGACCTCTCTGAGCCCCAGTCTCTGCCCCCTCACCACCACCCCCAGGCTATGCTTTCCTCTTCATTAATCCTCCAGGAGGGAAACTCTACTCCAGCCTCAGGGCCTTTGCATGTGCTTATTTGTTTGTTTATTGTCTATCTCCCCACTAAAAATGTACAGGAACAGAAGGATTTATGTTTGAATCCCTGCTGTATCCCAGGGACCTAGAACAGTGCCTGGTGCGTAATAGGAGCTCAAAAAATAATTGTTAGATGAATTAATGAGTGCTACGTCCCCACGCCATCACCACACACACACACACACACACACACACACACACACACTTCTGTTCACTTCCTAGGTGTCTGGCTTTGGACAAGTGAATTAACATCTCTGTGGTTCCTGTTTTCTCATTTGCAAAGAGTAACATGGCACAGCAATAGTAAATCACATACCGTGATATCTGGCATATAGTCGGTCCTAATAAATGTCCTTTCTCTGAGCTGCCACAGGAAAACACATCATAAAAGCTAACACGGATTGTGCACTAAGCTTATGCCAGATTCATCATATTTAAAATTTTGTGGATGTGATATTCATTTCTGTTTACTTTCAGATGTCCCATATCTTATTTAAGCATCGTGGTGATTCTGTGACCTGGTTAAGGGTATTATTATTAAACCCCTTTTACAGAAAGAGAAACTAAGTGTCAGAAGACACTTTCAGCTAATAAACAGCAGAACAAAAACAAAAACAGCATTTGGGTCTTCATACTGAAGAGTTTACTTAACATGTAATAAGCATTCTGTATATATTTAGATGAATAAATTGAGTTAAAGAAAGTAATTAAGGATAAACTTCCTACTTTAAAAACATTTGCTGGACATCTCAATTTGCTTTGCAAGAATTTTGATCATGGCACTTGAGCGTTTTAGAACTTACAAAAGTGGTTCTTGACAAGTGCAGCACTGCCCCCCAAGACATACTGAAGCTTCATAAAGGCATTTTTGTGATGTGGGATAAAGATGCTGCTGATAATAAGTGGAAAGAAGCCAGGAATACTAGTTGTTTTACAATGAGCAAGACAGTCCTACTCAACAAAGAATTGTCTCTTTATTTCCTTTTTTCTCCTTTAATTCCTCCCTCCCTCCCTCGCTTCCTTCCTTCCTTCCCCTCTTTCTTTTTCTCTCTTCTCTCTTCTAGAATAATAGAGGAATCGTACAATACTTTAACTCCTCTAGCCCCATCATCATCACCTTTAACTTACATCCAACTTTTGTTGTATATTTTAAGTCTCTCAATATTGTCAAGTGCCCCAAAGCATTAGTATTGTTTTACAGAGCCAATGATCATTGAATCTACCCGCGTGTTTACTGCTTTCTTCACTATCGATTCTATCCTACCTCTCTCACCTTCCATCTGGGATTGTTCTTCTTCTTCCTGAAATATGCCCTTTAAGATTTCTTTTGGTGACCGTCTTCTGATAGTAAATATGGCAGTTTTTGTTTGTCTGCAAATGTCTTGATTTTCCCTTCATTGCTGTCAGGTATTTTTGCTGGATTGGTATGCATTTCAGTACATTGGATATATCATTCCATCTTCCAGTGTTGCTAGTGAGAAATCAGTTGTCAGTGTCACTGTGGTGCCTTTGTAGGTAATCTATCTTATTTCTCAGGCTGCATTTATATGTTTCACTTTTACTTTGATTTTGTTTGGTTTCAAGCTGATGTGTCTTAATGATGATCCCTTTTTAATGGGTTCATGGGGTCCTTCACTGGGATTCCTGAATCTGTGGATATCCTTCATCAGTTTTGGAAACTCTCAGCCATTCTTCTAAAATATTATCATTCTCCCTTTCTCTTCTTCCCTCTTAGAACTCCCATAAAATGTATGTTAGACCTCCTCGTTCTCTCTTCCAAATCTCTATCCCCTGTTCTACATTTTCCATCTTTTTCTCTCTCCATGCTTTATTCTGAATAGTTTCTTCTAATTTACCTTCCAATCACTAATTTTTCCTTTAACTGTGTCTATGCTACTGAGCTATTAGTTACATTTTTGCCATTTTTGTTCTAGGATTTCTATTTCATTCTTTTTTAAGTCTGCCATGTTACTTTTTCTGGCTTCTAGGTACCTACTATTTCAAATGCTTATATATTTGAACATAATGTTCCTAGTTATTTTAAAGCCTGTGTTTAAATCTTCAATATTTAAAGTTTTGTAGATTTATTACTATTTTCTTTTTTGTTTTTGTTAGTCATCACTCTGAGTGTCTTGTTTCTTTGTGTGCCTGGATACTTATGTGATGGTCATTGTACATGAAAGTTATCTGTGAAAGAGTTGGAGACTTTGGATTAAATATCTTCCTCCAGAAAAAAAAAAAAAAAAAGTTTGCTTCTTTAAGCTCTTAGGAACACTACAAGTCCTTCCTCTCAGTTAATTTTCATAGCATCCTTCTGAGGAAGGTGCAATTATTACCATTCACTTGGCAAATGAGAAAAAATAAGGCTCCAAGAGTCTACGTTGTCTGCTCAGAATCAGATAATGGTGGAGCCAGGATTCAAACCCACATCAGTCAGAATCCAGAGCGCAAGCCTTTAACCAGGGGTCAGTAAACTTTTTCGTAAAGGGCAAGTTAGCAAATACTTTAGACTTTATAAGTCACACGGTCTCTGTCACAAATACTCAACAATGCCTTTGTAGCATGAATGCCACCATAAACTACACATAAATGAATAGGTGCGGATTTGCTTTCAGAAAACTTTATACACAAAAACAAGTGGCAGGCTGAATTTGGTCCATGAGAAATGTGCTTTACACGAAAGCTAGAGAAACCCACTTTTCTGATTGTTTTTCCTCTACTCAGTGTAAGGAGAAGCTTAGGAAGCCGCTGCCCCCACAGTATGCCCTGGAGCTTCTGACAGTCTATGCTTGGGAGCAAGGAAGCATGGAAACAAGATTCAACACAGCTCAGGGATTTCAGACTGTTTTGGAATTAGTCCTGAAGCACCAGCACCTCTGCATCTACTGGGAAAAGTATTATGACTTTGAAAACCCTATGACTGGACAATACCTGAGAAGGCAACTTGCAAAACCCAGGTACTCTATCCCCACATGGCTTAGCTCCCCACATAAATGAACCCATGAATACAGCTGTGGCACCTTGGAAATGTAGGAAGTGAGAGGGATCCATATTTATTGATCATCATCTATTGTCAATCACTGTGCTGGGCACTTTACTACTACCATCTAATTTTTTTAAGCATTAAAAATATATATTTATATATTTATTTTTGGCTGCTTTGGGTCTTCGTTGCTGCGTGCAGGCTTTCTCTAGCTGCATCGAGCAAGGGCTACTCTTCATTGAAGTGCACAGGCTTCTCTTGTTGCAGAGAACAGGCTCTAGAGCGCAGGCTCTGTAGTTGTGGCACACGGGCTTAGTTGCTCCGCAGCATGTGGGATCTTCCCGGACCAGGGATTGAACCCATTTCCCCTGAATTGGCAGGTGGATTCTTCACCACTGCGCCACCAGGGAAGCCTTTCCATCTAATTTTAAAAACAATGTGCAAGCAACTCTGTGAGGCAGGCACTATGCTACCTGCTTTACAGATGACTAAACCAAGATTCTGAAAGGTAAAGAGCTTGTCCAAACCTTAACAAAAAATGAGTGAAACAGCTGAAATTTCAACTAAAATAACAACAGCTGCAGCAACAATAATAAATGCTCCCAGGAACTAAGAGCTTGCTATAAGACTAACACACTCTAATAGCATTGTAAAAATTATAATTATTGTAACTGCCATGTATTGACCCCTTATTATGTCCCAATTACTGTGCTGAGCATTTCACATGCTTGTCTAGATCCTCATACAACATCCTTTGAGGTAGGGATGTTCAATTCTTCCCATTTCACGATGAGGATACTGAGGATTAGAGAGGTCAAAAGGCCTGCCCAAGGTCACACCCCTAATAAAGGGCAGAGGTAAGATTCAAACAGAAGTCTATGAAAGCCCAAATGCAAGGCTCCTCCCTCTGTTCACTGTGCTCCATAGGGCAGGGCACCCAGGACACACCCCAGGGAGCAGTGCCCTGCTGGACCCCTCCTGCCTGTGCCAGGCTGGTACTTTTCTCTTCCAGAAGCATCTAGATCCCCCAGACATAGCCCAGCTTCTCACCTATTCTCTCTCTAAATATTGCTCTTCAGGCCTGTGATTCTGGACCCGGCTGACCCTACAGGAAATGTTGCTGGTGGAGACCCATGTCGCTGGCAGCGGCTGGCACAAGAGGCTAGAGCCTGGCTGAGTTACCCATGCTTAAAGAATTGGGACGGGTCTCCAGTAGGCTCCTGGGATGTGTCGGTGAGACCTTCTGCTTCTTCCCTGCCGTCCTTCCCCCACCCCCTCCACACAGCATGGGGCATGTAGATAGAGACCATTCTTTCCTAAGAAATTGCCTCTTGCTAGAGGTCACTCACATTCATATAGTGTCAGGCTGTGCTCTCTATTTTACAATCATTTTGGCCCCATACAGAGAGCTCCTGGACTTCTCACATCCCTCACCCAGAGTTCATTCTTTAATTAATGCCTCCTTGTCTGGAAGTAACTTTTTTAACAGCTCCAGTTGGCTCATTCCACTAAGAAGAAAAGTAAACAATAACAACCACCACTTAGTAAATACCTGCTTTGGGCTCAGGTTCTGTTCTAAGCCCCTTAAATTCCATTATTTCATTAAATCCTCACAACACCCCATGAGATATGTTTTCTACTCCCATCTTGCAGATGAGAAAAGGAGGCTCAGAGAGGTGAAGTCACCTGCTCAAGGCCACTCAGCTAGGGAGTGGTAGAGCTGGGATCCTAACTCGGTAGACTCTAACGCCAGTGTTTATTCCACTGAGCTAAACATCCTGCCTTGTATCCCCTCCCCCCTCAATATCATGTGACAAATGAGCGACTCAGAGCAGCTGAGGACGTGGGCATGTCACCCAGCTAAGTAGGTGCTGAGGGTCTGATCTTCCCACTCCAAGAGTAGAGATCTTTCTCATGCCGGGGTGGGGAGGGTTGATGATGTCATAGATGGGTTTCCTAGGAAACAGACTCTGGGATGAAGTTTATGTGCAGGATGTTTCAGGGGAGGACCATTGGATCCAACACCTGTGTAAAGGAGGGGAATTAAGCAGGTACCAGCACAGGGAGAGGTGCAGCTGGGGAGCCCTGGAGCTTCAACGGCCTTCAGAGTTGTCCTGCAGAAGGCTGAGGTGGCAGGTCTTCTTTACCCTAACATGGATCGGCCACTGAATGGACAACTCAGGAGGGGGTGTGTCCTTCCTCGAAGGGAATCCAGGTGGCACATCACAGTGTCCACCTGTCCACCATAAATGTTCACTGAGACCCAGTGCCAAGGTGGGAGGCCCAGCTCTCCAGTGTGACCATGTGCTTCACCCTTTCAGCCCCAAGACCATAGTGACCTGACGTACGAGGCCTGTGGTTTTAGACAGAGCTATAGAACCTCTCCGAGACTCACATTCCAGGGAGGAGCCCCTCCGCAGGTGGAAGAGAACTGGACATGTGCCATCCTCTGAACGCCAGAAGCTCTTAAAGGCAAGGTCTCCGGGGCCATCTGGGCCAGACCTCTCATTTCTAGGGGCGGGGCGGGGGGCCTCAATCCCGAGAGGGCCATGAGTTGGTGTCAGACCTGGGTCCAGAATCCAGGTCTCCTGACCCCCATCCTTCCCGCCATTCTGTGCTCTCTCTTCTTTTACAGATAGCCTTTTCCCACAGCTCCCTCCCCACCAGAGCCTGTTCTCCGACAGTATCCTCTGAGAGGCAGCAGGAGAGACTCAGACAAAAGAGAGGAGTCCCAGTCTTCACGCTCTTCTCTGTACCTGGTGGGAGAGCTGTAGTCCAATTTATTGTCAATAACAACAAAAATAGTAGCAAATGCCATTTGTTGGGTGTTAATTAACCGCAAGGCACAGAGCCAAGAAGTATATCTGCATATTATATGTGTGTGTATGTGTGTGTGCGTATTCATTGATTCAACTTAAAATATTAATTGAGCACCTGCTATGTGCCAAGCATCGTTCTGGGCACTGGAACATAGCAATGAGCAAAGCAGACAAAAACCCCTGCCTCATGGAGCTGACATTTTGTGGAATATTCTACTGTTGGATAGACTAGGATCCTTCCAAGTTTCAATTACAGGTAATCCTGAGACAAACATCTTTGGTTCACCCTTTGTCCACATCTCTGATTATTTATCCAGGAAAAGTTTTAGAACTGCCCTGTGTTAATACAGTAATCACTATTGAGCACTTGAAATGTAGCTGGACCCAATCGAGATGTGTTAATCTTTATACTTTTTTGAATTTTCAGATTTTATTAATTTTTGGCCATAAGTTTGTACTGTTTGTATGACCACAAGAAATAATAAAGCAATGTTTCTTGCACAAAAAAATTTAATAAGTATTTCTCTCAGCTGAGCTCTGATAGTTTGTGCAAAGCCAGCCGGCCCAGGTTATAGAAAAGTCTGGGGCACTGGTATTGGGAGCTGTTGGTTCAAGTCCAAATTCATGAGATTTGGAAACAGAGGAGCACCTGTGTAAGGGATGACGGAAATGCTGGAATGAAAATTGGAGCACCGGAGTCATAAATTTTTGATTCCCCGGAGAGAAAGCCCCATTATGGGCAGTTCCTTCTGGGGAAACAGAAACCAGCAGATCTAATGTTTAACCAAAGGAGATAAGGGTGGAGTCCCTCCCTGCACCCCCATTTGAGGAACCACCTTGCTGTAGCCCATAGCAGCTGCACCATTTACATCCCCTTCAGCAATAAATGGGGGGTTCAGTCTCTCCACATCTTTGCCAACACTTTGTAATTCATGATCATTTTGATTATCACCATCCTAGTTGGTGTAAAAGAGTTATATACTCTCAAAATAATCGGGCCTGCTAAGCAAGGTCAAGACCCTACCTGGGAAAGAATGGGACCCTGACACATAGACTGCGGACATAAGAATGGAAGCCCCTGAAAATCTTGAATCCCAGACTCCTCTGAACCTGGGGTTCAGAAATGTCCCATCTACCCCTTCTGTTAAAAGCTAGCACCTCCCCCCTTGCAAGGAGACTCTGCAGAGGTCTCTCTTCCATAAGACCCCGCAGGACCGGCACCCACTTGCCCTCCTGCCCACTAGGACTGAGTAGGGTTGAGTCCCAAAATAGCCCAGCCGGGGGCGCGCTGGGCCTGCTGAGGGAGGGATGGACCTATATCCCAAACAGCCAGAAGACCCGGTCAGCATGTAGCAGCAAAAGTCAGGTGGGTGTGTGTGGAAGTGACCCCGAGGGCACTTGATCAAGGGGCTACAGTGTCAGGTCAGATGCAGAAGAGTTTATTGACTTGGAAGTCCCCTCCTGGAATTCAGGACTTCACACCCTGGCAAGGACCCCAGGAGACCGTGCAGAGTTGCTGTTAGCCAGGCTTTTAGAATGGAAAAAGTGAGAGCCTCTGCCGGGTGAGAACAAAAATGCTGATATTCCCATGGGAGATGGTGGAAGATGGGATTCAAAGGTCAGGGAAGTGGATATGCTTGGGTGGATGTGCTATATAAGTCCAGAAAAGCCACCAAATTATCTCCCGTGGAAAAGCAGAGAATACAACGTTACCAAGGCCATAAAGAATACGCCAGTGAGAGGACTCAGCATCACTAAGAAGCTCGGGTGGCCTCCTCCATAGAAGATGCTGTCACAGGCCTCCTAACAGCACTGGGGATGGTAGAACCCCGAAATCATAGCGGCCATGAGACAACACTTACCCGTGACGTGGACACACTTCTCTTCGTGAGTGGTAGGGTGGAGGGGCAGTCAGGATAGCCTGACCCACAGAGAATTAAGGAGCTGGTCATAAAATATGGTGTCCCTGGGGCCAAACTAAATGGGCCACAAATGAGGGACGCTCAATCTGCCCCATCAAACTACTTCAAGGATGGACCGTTAGAACACTGAGAGATTCCCCCAATAAAAAGTCACCATCCCTTTCCCAGTGGCTTCCCAGGAGACCCATCTCTGACACATGACATCTAAATGTAACATGATCCTAGATTTGGGGGAGGGGGGGTTGCTATAAAGAACAACATTGGAATAACTGGTAAAAATTGAATATAAGAATATATCCATTGTATATGCTATAAGAGATGATAGCATTGTATCAAAGGTACAATTCTGAATGGGGTTGTCATTCTGTGTTTATGTAACAAGATACCCATATTCTTAGGGGATACATATGGAAGTATTTAAGAGTAAAGGGGACTGGGTGATTCTGATGTGTCCATGAAGGTTCATCACTTGTAACAAGTGTCCCACTCTCCCACTCTGCTGGGGGATATTGGTAGTGGGCAAGGCTGTGTGGCTGGGGGAGGGGGAGGAGGCGGGGGGGGGTGCAGTATATAGGAAATCTCTTGGCTTCTGCCCAGTTATCTGCAACATGCACTCAAATGGCTCAGTAATAATGATACTGATACATAGAGAATGAGGAGCAAATGTGACTTTCAGGATGAAGGATATGAGAGAGTTCTTTGTGTTTCAAAAGATTTCAAAATAAAATACTTTAAAAATAAAAATAAAGCATAGACTTTGGAAAACGGGTAGTTAGAACCTAGTCAGACAACTTACAAGCTGTGTGACCTTGGGCAAATTTTTTCAACTCTCTGAGCCTCTATGTTCTTATCTAGAAAAGAAGGCTTATGACCTCTGCCCACCCAGCCTACCTCTAGGTGTTACAGCAGAAGTCAGATAAAGGCAGGGAAGGGCCCTTAATGCGCAGGTGTGATAAGCAACTTTCTCCAGAGAAACTGAACAGTGAAAATGAACACATAAAGGGAAACCTCATTTTAAGTGGAGTCAGGAGACCAGAAGGGGGCGCTCTCACACACCTCAAGTACCACCGTAATTCAGTCATAGGAAAGACAGTCTTTCAACAGACCCCAACAAGAAGCATCAACAGGAAAAAACTGTCGATGACAGGCCTGGACAGGAAAGATGTACATTGCATCTCTTGGAGGAAACCGACTACCCCAGCAACTAAGCCAGTCACCTGTCATCAGCCTGAATTCTTGCTTTTCTCCAATGGACTCTCATTCAAAACAACCCCTCCCAACTTCCTCCTTTTTCTCTATAAAGTAATGTTCCTCTTCTTTGTTTGTTGGACTTGCCTATGGCTTTTGCTATAGCCTGCTTGTCCCAAATTGAAATTCTCTGCTGTTCCCGAATAAAGCCATTTTACTGGTAAAATAACTGGCTGTTTTACTGTTGAGGTTAACAGAACTATAGGTTTTATAGATCTAGATTTAGAGAAAGATTTGTTTTAAGGAATCGGCTTGTGCCATTGCAGGGGCCAGCAAGTCCAATTTCTGCAGGGTAGGCTGGCCGGCTGGAAACCCAGGGAAGCATCTGCTGGTAGAGTTCCCTCTTCCTTGGGGGAGATCAGGCCTTTTTCTTTTCTCTTTTTTTTTTAATTGATATTTTTGGCTGCATTGGGTCCTTGTTGCTGCTCGCAGTCTTTCTCTAGTTGCAGCGAGCAGGGGCTATTCTTCGTTGTGGTGCACGGGGTTCTCATTGTGGTGGCTTCTCGTGTTGCAGAACACAGGCTCTAGGCGCACAGTCTCAGTAGTTGCAGCATGCAGGCTCAGTAGTTGCAGCACGCAGGCTCTAGAGCGCAGGCTCAGTAGTGTGGCGCATGGGCTTAGTTGCTCCGCAGCATGTGGGATCTTCTCGGACCAGGGCTCGAACCCGTGTCCCCTGTATTGGCAGGCGGATTCTTAACCACTGTGCCACCAAGGAAGTCCCCAGGCTTTTTTCTATTCATGTCTTCACCTGATTGGATGAGGCCCACCCTCATTATAGAGAGTAATCTGCTTTCCTTGAAGTTTACTGATTTAAATGTTGATCTCATCTCAAAAATACCTTCAAAAAAAGATCTAGAAGACTGTTTGACCAAATATCTGAGTACCATGGTCCTAGCCAAGTTGATACAAAATTAATCATCACAACAGAGAAGGGGGTCTGCTTCTGTCCCACCTTGGAGATGTTTGCCTTCTGTGTTACAGAGGAAGCCAGTGGGAGCTGCCTGGGAGTTTCACTTTCATGGTCCTGGACACAAGAGTTGCACGTCTGTCTCCCCTCTGGCCTGTGTGCTCCTGGGCCTGTTTTCCTTCCTTGCTGGGTGGGGTAAGTGCCCGATGAAACCTGGCAGGTGTCCATGTGTGTGCTGAGGAACTGGGCACACAGACACAGACCTCTTGGGACCTGTGTTTGCTCGGTGGCAGAACTAAAACCCGAGTGGCTGAGCCCTTGCCTTGCTGTGTGTCCCTGAACAAGTCAGCGCCCTCACTGGGTCTCTTTCTCCTCGCTGTTCTCATTAACTCTGAGTTCCCAGGCCATTGGGAACAGGGAGAAGGGGAAAGAGCCTCAAAAGATGACCTCTGAGAAAATAATCTAAAAAAACTATATATAGATATAACTGAATCACTTTGCTGTATACCTGAAGCTAACACAATATTGTAAATCAGCTATACTTCAATTAAAAAAAAAGAAAAACAAAAAAAGAAAGGAAAAAAAAAAAAGAAAAAAGATGACCGTTGGCCCCCTATGAAGTTATTTGCTTAACAAACACTTTACAGCTCTAGCCATGTGCCAGGTCCTGTTCTAAGCACTTTGCAAGTCTTTAATCCTTGCATTAAGCCTGTGAGACAGGTACCATTATTATCCCCATTTTATAGAGGGGGAAATCAAGGCACAAAAAGGACTGGCAATGTGCTCAAGGACACAGATGTCGCATGTATCAAGCCCTCATAGTCCAGCTCCAGAGGCTGCATTTTTTTTCTTTTCTTTTCTTTTTTTGCGGTACACGGGCCTCTCACTGCCGTGGCCTCTCCCGTTGCGGAGCACAGGCTCCGGACGCGCAGGCTCAGCGGCCATGGCTCACGGGCCCAGCCGCTCCGCGGCAATGTGGGATCTTCCCGGACCGGGGCACGAATCCGCGTTCCCTGCATCGGCAGGCGGACTCTCAACCACTGCGTCACCAGGGAAGCCCTGGAGGCTGCATTTTTAACCTTCAGTATTCCTTGAGAGCAGCTGAAAGGCTGATCATCACAGCTTGGGGGAGGGCAAAACCCTGGATTGAGGCAGCCGGCTTGGGAAGGTTCTGTGAGTTTCCTTTTCCCCAGACATGAGTTTCGGTTTCAGTCTCCGGGCATAGGAGTTCCTCATTCTCTTCTGCCTCCAGCTCTGCCATTAGCTGTCATCTCAGCAGCCAGCCAGAGCAATGGGAAACTGGGAGTCCCATCTCTACGAACGGCCTGCCCAGAAACTGGGTGAGTTTACCCAGGACAACCTGAGGCCCTTTGAAGACTGTCAGAAACAGATCGACCAGACCGTGGACACCATCTGTGCAGTCCTGCAGGAAGCTGAGCAGCTCCCCCTGGTGACCGGCGTGGCCGAAGTGAGTAGAAGGCTGGGGTCAGGGCTTCTGGGACCCAGAAGGCAGAGCGACTTGGTGCTGAGCACCTACCGTGTGCCGGGCCCTGGGCACACAAGAGACCATCTTGTCTAGCCCCACACTCAAGTGAGATGGTGGAATATGGTGTAGAGTTTAAGAGTACAGGTTGGGGAGCCGGTTCTACCCCTTACTACTCTGTGACGCAGGGCAGGTTGTTTAACCTCTCTGTGCCTCGGTATCTGAATTTGTAAAATGGGAGAGAAATAATACTCATTGCAAAGTGTTATGAGGCTTAAGCCCATAATGTTCTTGCACAGGGCTTGGTACAAAGTTAGTGCAGTAAATTAGCTGTGGTTACTTTTATTGTTTTTATTCTCCCCATTTTACAGAGGAGTAAACTGAGTCTACAAGACTTCAGTAAAACTACCCAAGGATGCTCTGTGTCTTCTCAACAGCAAGGGGTGGGGAGCTGTCATCAGTTAGAAATATTTGGTGCTATGGGCACAAACCCCAGGGTTGAGCCTGAAGATTCTGGACCTTTGGGGAAGAAAGGGTGCTGGGACGGGGCCAGGACCCTAGGGTGGGGAGGGGCTTATGGATGCCCACCACAAACCCCATGCTCTCCGGCACCGAAATCCCACTTCTCTGTAGTCACAGTGCTTTCTGGCCTCTGCCCTCACACACACCCACTAGCCCTAGCAGTAAAGATACCTGGACACTTGGTGTCTCCTACCTTGGCCCAGATGAGGAAACTGAAGCGTGGAGAAGTTATTTAATAGTTGGCATCTGACCTGGGATTTTAAGCCCAGGTAATCTGTTTGGGAGCATGCACCCTTAACCACTATATCATCCTACCTCTCAATATTGTTAACTTTTTTCTAATTAAAATATTAATCATACATACAAAAAGTGCACTGATCTAAGTGTACAGCCTGATGGATTGCCACAAACAACATACATGTGTAACCTACACCCAGATCAAGAAATAAAATATTCCCACCCCCGACCCAAGAGCCCCTGAACCCCCCATCCAGTCGCTACCCCCAGCCCCAGGCAACCACTCTCCTGACTTCTGACAGCATAGCATAGATTAGTTTTGCCTATTTTTAAACTTTGTATAGAGTGACCAACCATCCCAGTTTGCCCGGGACTGAAGGGTTTTCTGGGACATGGGCCTCTTGATGCTAAAACTGAGCATGTCCAGGGTAAACCAGACAGGTTGGTCACCCTGCATAAAAGAAATCATGCACTGTGTGGCTTTAGTGTGTGGGGTTTTGACCCATCTGTTGACAAAATTTATGTTGTTGTGTGCAGCTGTTGTTTATCATTTCATTGCTGTCATGTGTTCCCTATATGAATACACCACATTTGCCCATTCTACTGCTGATGGCCGTTCGAGTTGCCTCCAGTTTGGGGCTCGTAGGAAAAGGGCTGCTATGGGGCTTCCCTGGTGGCGCAGTGGTTGAGAATCCGCCTGCCAATGCAGGGGACACGGGTTCGAGCCCTGGTCCGGGAAGATCCCACATGCCACGGAGCAACTAAGCCCGTGAGCCACAACTACTGAGCCCTCGTGCCACAGCTACTGAAGCCCACGTGCCTAGAGCATGTGCTGCACAATGAGAGAAGCTACCGCAATGAGAAGCTGGTGCACCACAACGAAGAGTAGCCCCCGTTCGCCGCAACTAGAGAAAGCCCCCGCGCGCAGCAACAAAGACCCAACACAGCCAAAAATAATAAATAAATAATACAATAAATAAATTTATTTTTTTTAAAAGTGCTGCTATGGGTATCCTGATTCAGTTCTTTGGGTGGACAAATGAACATCTGCCACTCCGCTTTTAGACTATGTTGACATCTGGGGCTTTTGCTTGAGGTGAGAGATATTTCTGCCTGTCGGGGTGCCCTGCGACCCCAAAGGGTTCAGAGTCTCACATCCACTTCTCTGTTGCTGGCAGAGTGGCTCCTATGGCCGGAGAACGGTCTTGAGGGGCAACTCCGATGGTACCCTCGTCATCTTCATCGGTGGCCTTGAAAAATTCCAGGATCAGAAAAAAAGCCAACATGACCTCCTCAGCAAAATCTGGGCACAGTTGAAACGCTGTGAGCTCACGATGAAGCTGGCAGCCAAGATGGAGATCCAGAGCATCAGTGGCAACCTCACCATCCAGCTGTCCACAGAACAGCAGAGCATCACTTTCGAGATGCTGCCCGCCTTCAACGCTCTGGGTGAGCCCCCCTGTGTGTGGGGGGGGGGTGTGGAGGTTCAGGTCTGGAGGGGCTTGTCAAGAGAGCAAAGCCAGAAAAAGGGGTGGTAGATAGCCTGGCATCTGAATAAATACCCCTGGTGCTTTCCAAAATGAGGGACCGTAGACTTTCCCTCCTTCCTCTCTTTCCCTCTCTCTCTTTCTCTCTCTCTCTTCCTTCCTTTCTTTCTTCCTTTCCTTTCTTTCTTTTCTCACTGTGTGGCATGCAGGATCTTAGTTCCCCTACCAGGAATGGAACCTGCACCCCCTGCAGTGGAAGTGCAGAGTCTTAACCACTGGACCACCAGGAAAGTCCCGAGAGACCGTTGACTTTCAAAAGAGGAGATTCCTCCTACCCTGAGCTTACTCTCTTCTGTAGAATTTCTCCCTTATCTCCTAGTTGACTTTGGAGGAAATGTTCTAGATTCTGGAGTAGAGCATCTCAAACTGTGACACGCACACAAAGCACCTGAGAAACTTGTTAAAATGCAGGTTCTGATTCAGGAAACTGGGGTCCAGGATTCTATATTTCTAACCAGTGCCATGATATTGCTGCTCTTCTGTGGACTACACTGGAGGATTTAGACTAGAATAAATGCTGGTTAGAGATAGAGGATGGGGCAAACATCTGGGAAAAGTTCAGCTGGAGCAGGTATTTGGAATGTGCCTCTAATCAGGTCAACATCAAGGCAAAGATCTTCCATGGGCAACTGTTTGGATGGATGGATGGATGGTTGACTGGATAGATGGATGGATGGTTGATTGAATGGGTGAGACTAAGCATAGTTACAGCTTAGTCTCAAGCATAGGTACATATATTATCACAAACTTAAATACCAGAGCTGGAATTCAACCCCCATTAAACAAGTGAGGGGCTTCCCTGGTGGCGCAGTGGTTGAGAGTCCGCCTGCCAATGTAGGGGACGCGGGTTCGTGCCCCGGTCCGGGAAGATCCCACATGCCGCAGAGCAGCTGGGCCCGTGAGCCATGGCCGCTGAGCCTGCACGTCCGGAGCCTGTGCTCCGCAACGGGAGAGATCACAACAGTGAGAGGCCCACGTACCGCAAAAAACAAACAAACAAAAAAGAAAACAAGTGAGGAAGCAGAACAAAATGAATGTGTCCAGGGCCACACAGCCAGTTACTGACAGAACTAGAATAAAAGCCCAGGTCTTTTAAGCCCCAGGCCCAGTGCCTTCAAGGTGGACACACACACACACACACACACACACACACACCCTGACGACTTACATTCACAGAAAGGTGACCTAGTGCAGAGAAAAATGCACCAGTTTGCAAGGTAGGCAGCCTTGAATTCTCATCCTGGTCTTGCTACTAACCCACTTCTGCCAACTGTAAGATCAAGGCTAGAAACAGCTAACTTGCAGGACCTTTAGGATGATAAGGGCTGAGTATGCTTGCCTGACTCAAAGGAAGGCTGGAGTCAAGGTGAAGAGACAGAGTGTGACTCAGAATTCCTAGGAAATCCTATGTTCTGTCCTCTGGTTCAGAGCACGGTGGCTGGAGATTAGGCCAGAGCGCCCTCTGCTGGCTGCACTCCATCTCGCAAAGAATGATGTGAGAACGAAAAATCAGCTCTTCCTCACATGTAGTACCGAGAAGCTGCCACCAGATAGCGGCAGAGCTACACATTCCAAACAGATAACCTTTCCTAGACGGAAACAATAATGGTCGCTTTCTGAGAAAAGTAAACTACTGAGAAATTTTTAAATTACTTTCTGTACTAAATATTAGCCTAACTACATTTTATTATCTAGTAGGACAAGCCACCCCTCACCTTTTATGCAAATGCACCAGTCCTCTTACAGATGAAGCAATGAACGTGTGCTACCAAACCACATCCAGCCTTCCTTGTGGGCTCACCCAGGCCAGGTTCCATGAAAACCAAAAGTTCTGTTTCTGTTTCACACCAGGCTTAAGTGAGAAGCCCAGCCTCTGCACCTATCGAGAGCTCAAAAGATCCTTGGATATGGTGAAAGCCAGCCCCGGTGAGTTCTCGATCTGCTTCACTGAACTCCAGGAGAAGTTTTTTAGCAACCATCCCAGCAAGCTGAAGGATTTGATCCTCTTGGTAAAGTACTGGTGTCAAAAGGTAAACTTCAAATTGCATGTCTATTGCTATTATCCGTTTCCCTTTTACTGAGATAACTCACGTTCGGTAAAGTACAACAATGTTAAGAATACAGCTCAGGGATTTCCTGGTGGTCCCATGGTTAAGATGCTGTCCTCGCAGTGCAGGGGGTGCTGGTTCCAAACCTGGTGGGAGAACGAAGATCCCACATGCCGTGTGGGCAAAGAAAAAAAAAAAAGAATACAGCTCAATGTGTTTTTATAGCCTTTCAGGCAACACCCAGATCAAAATAGGGCACATTTCCTGCACTCCAGCAGGATGCACACTCCCAGTCCATGCTTCCCCCAAACAAACCACTATACTAGCATCTGGTACCACAAATTAGTTTTGCTTGTTTTTAAACTTGATGTCAATGGAATCATACTGCATGGACTTCGTGTTTGCCATCTTTTGCTCAATATGATGCCTGAGAGATTTGTCTGTGTTGTTGCAGGGAGTAGTGGTTCTTCATTGTTTTGTACTATTCCATTGCATTAATACACTGTACATGGATGCATTCTACTGCTGAGGGACATGTGGGTCATTCCCAAATTGGGGCTGTTATGAATTAGGTTACAGTGGATATTCCCCTACGTGTCTTTTTGTGAATTTAAGCAGTCATTCCTCTTGGGTAAATATGCAGGAGTGAGACTGCTGTGCTATAAGGTATACTTTATATATGTGTGTATGTGTGTGTGTGTGTGTGTGTGTGTGTGTGTGTGTGTATAGATATATACATATATACACACACACATATACCTTATATATATACACACATTACATATTTACATTATATATACCTTATCTGTGTATATATACATATATGAATATATATGTATATGTGTATACATATACACATGCATATATGAATAAATTTGTGGAATATATATATATATATATATATAACTTTAGTAAATACACCCAAATAGTTTTCCCAAATGGTTGTACCAAATCCCACTCCTGTCCGCAGTGTATGACAATTTCAGGTGCTCCACATTCTTATCAACACTTGTTGTCAGTCCATCGAATTTTAGCCATGATATCATTTCAATCATTGACAGGGGACATTGACTTCCTATAGACTTCTAGTTTCTTTTTTTTTTTTTTTTTTTGCAGTACGCGGGCCTCTCACTGCTGTGGCCTCTCCCGTTGCGGAGCACAGGCTCCGGACGCGCAGGCTCAGCGGCCATGGCTCACGGGCCCAGCCGCTCCGCGGCATGTGGGATCTTCCTGGACCGGGGCACGAACCCATGTCCCCTGCATCGGCAGGCGGACTCTCAACCACTGCACCACCAGGGAAGCCTCGACTCCTAGTTTCTTGATTTCAGACCCCTGGCATGGGCGGAACTGGGTTCCAAATTATCTGCTACACTTTTCTCCTTCCACAGTGCCAGGAAAAGCTGAAGGATTCATCCCTGCTGCCCCTGTATGCGCTGGAGCTGCTTACGGTCTATGCCTGGGAACAGGGGTGTGGAGCAGAAGACTTTGACATAACTGAGGCATCAGGACTGTTCTGGAGCTTATCAGGAAGCAGGAACAGCTATGTGTCTACTGGACAGTCAACTACAACTTTGAGGATAAGACTGTCCGCAACATCCTGCTGGGCCACCTCCGATCCCCGAGGTACCAAGCTTCCCACGGCCCTCTCTCCTTACCTCTTTATGTACATGCCAGTCTGTACCCCCTTAGAATGAGGGTGCATCCCTGTCTTTCCCAGCCAAGCATGCACCAAAAGAATGCCAGCAGCAGTGGGTAGGGAGGCAAAGAGAGGTCTGTCTGAAAGAGGGACGCTTCGATGCTTTTCACATTCTAAACCATTGTCACATTTTGTCCCAAAGCAAACACTTCCCCTCATAGAAGGAAGGGGCAAAGAGAGGAGGGGTCAACAGAAAGAGGAGACCGTTTTATTAGGTTATGAATGGAACATGCCTGTAAAGCGGAGAGCACTAGACACAGAGAACACCAGGACCAGAGAGGCTAGACATCTTAGACAGAGCACTTCAGCAATTGGAAGGAACTGCAGGAGGTAAAAATCCAGGTTTCCAGATGCCCAGTCCAGGCCTCTTTCCCCCAAGATGATTTCTCCTCCCAACTGATTTTTTTTAATCAAATTCATAGGCCAGTAATCTTGGATCCAACTGACCCAACCAGTAATGTGAGCGAAGATAACACCTGCTGGCAGCTGCTAAAACAAGAAGCTCAAACCTGGTTATCTTCTCTCAGGCTGAACGAGTCACCTGGACTGTCCTGGAATGTTCTGGTGAGAGGGCTTTCCAATATAGCTCGTGTCCTGCTGCAGGCAGGGCCCTCCCGATACTCAGACTGCAGTCTTATCCAAGATCACCGTGAGTTGGTTTCCCAGAGGTGCCATGACAAAGCACCATGCACTGGTGGCTTAAAGCAACAGAAATTTACTCTTTCACAGTTTGGGGGGCTAGGAATCCAAGATCAAGATGTGGACAGGGCCATGCTCACTCTGAAGGCTCTAGGGAAAAGTCCTTCCTCACGTCTTCCAGCTTCTGGTGGCCGTTCGCGGTCCGTGGCTTGTGGCAGCAACACTCCAATCTCTGCCTCTGTTGTCACATGGCCTTCTCTTGTGTGTCTTCACAATGTCCTCCCTCCAGGCATGTCTGTCTCTGTGTCTCTCTCCTCTTCTTATAAGGACACCAGCCGTACTGGATTAGGGACCACAGTAATGACCTCGTCTTAACTTGATTACCTGTTTGCAAAGACCCTATTTCCATATAAGGTCACATTCATAGGGCCTAGAGGTTGGGACTTCAACATATCTTTTAGGGGGACACAATTCAGTCTATAACACACCATTAGGGACCTCCCCTTCCATTAAAATGATAGTAATGTGCAAAATTGAACAAAGAGAAAAGGCGGGCACCTGCAGATGAGAGATTTCAATTAGTTTCTGCAAGAGAGAAAGCAGGTGAGAAGGTGGTGACAGATGAAATGGAGCAGAGCCCAAGAGACGTGGGTGGCAGTCACCCCTGCGGATGCTGGGACAACCTCTGAGCTCTACTGAAGCAGGCGTTGGGGGCGAGAGCGAGAAGTGAGGCTGCAAATGGGAGAACTAATGAAGGGCCAGAAGCATTGGGTTTTCCCCTCCCATCCCCCAAAGGAGAAGCACATCTATCAACACAAATTTGATTATATCTGCAAAGTCCCATTTTCCATACAGGGTAACAGTCGTAGAGCAGGACGTGGACTTTGGGCGGCAGGGGTGGATATCACTATTCTCCCTCCCACTAGCAAGAAGTAGGCTGCCTCTGCAGACTGAGGCCTGACCAGAGCATGCAGAACAGGGAAGAAAAGATGCTCAGGTGAGGTGTCATGACCTGTGGTCCATGGAGCGCATCCCATCTGATGTTTTCTACTGAAGAGGAGAGAACTTCACTTTTATGCAGATGTCAGACCCCATTTAGACATCAGAATATGGTTTCCTTCCAAAAGTGACCACAAGTACAAGGGAGTGAGCAGGTCCCAACCTCCACGGTCCCATTGGATTAGAGAACAGGTAACTGTCCCTTCAGACTGAACACACAGCCCCTCTGACTCCAGGACGGCCTTCTCTTCAACACACTTAGACGGAACAGCATCCCCTGGTGTGGAGGGTTGAATAGTGTCCCGCAAAATTCATGTCCACCCGGATCCTCAGAATGTGACCTTCTTTGGAAGTAGGGTCTTTGCAGGTATTACTAGTTAAGAGGTCATCCTGGATCAGTGTGGACCCTGAATCCAATGACTGGCGCCCTTATAAGGAGACACACAGGGACACAGACACAGAAGGGAGAAAGCCACGTGACAAGGAGGCAGGGGTCAGAGTGATGCAGCCACAAGCCAGGGAAGGCCGTGGACTGCCAGAAGCTGGAAGACACAGGAAGGATTTCCCCTAGAGCCTTGGAGGGAGCACGGCCCTGCCTACACTTCGACTGCAGACGTCTAGAAACGTGATTTGTTACGGCTGTTCAGGGAAACCAATCCACCGGGGCACAGGGTGTTTAACAGAGGCTGATAGAACCTTGAAAAAGGAATAATGTGATCATCAGAAGTCAAAAATACCTGTAATAAATGGGAAAATAAGGAAGGAACAGAGCAGTACGAGAAGCCAAGAGGTGCCGGCCATTTGTGGACGGTCCCAGAACAGAAAGTGGAAACTAGACAGTAATTTGGAGCCAGGTCTTCACAGACCTGTTGGGAGAAGGATCCAGATCCCTTCTAGAGGGTAAAAGGAGCAACTAGGAGAGGTTCTGTTTCTGGGGGATCTTGGGTACCACCCGAAACTCTCAGGTATGCTCTTGGGATATGTCAATGCAAGAACTCAGGATGACAAAGGTACCAGCAGGAGAGTTGAGAGCAGGAGGGAGAGATGGGGGAGCAGAGCAGGCAGGGGAGGAAGCGGGGGTGGGGGACAGGCGGCTGGCAGGGGGCGTCTCACAGCGGGCTCCTTCCACAGACTGCACTGCTCTACATGACCCCAGGCCGTCTTCTAGACAAGTTCATCAAGGACCTTCTCCAGCCCAACAGGACTTTCCTAGATCAGATCAAGAAAGCTGTTGACATCATCTGTAAGTTTCTTAAGGAAAATTGCTTTCGACATTCAACTACAAAGTGTCAGAAGATTGTCAAGGTGAGCAATGGCCTTTCTCTTTGTTATTGGCGGGGACTAAGCCGTTCCTGTAACTCTGCAATGCTCCTGACCACTGGAAGTGTGAGGACAAAGTGTGAGGGGGGGAAGCAGGGGAGATGGGCAACTAGGACCCTGGTTTTTAGTGGAGGGTGCTGATGCACTGCTTACGCCATTCGCAATAGACTTTTGGGGGGTGCACATTGTGCGGCTTGCGGCATCCTAGTTCCCCGACCAGGGACTGAGCCCGGCCCACGGCAGTGAAAGTGCCGAGTTCTAATCACAGTAGACTTCTGATTCTGTGTTAACCTCCGCGAGCTGCTGGCAACGCTTGCCGGTGCTTGGCTTGTGGTGCCTCACTCCAATCTCTGCCTCCCTCTCCCCGTCCCCTTCTCCTCTGGGTCTTTCTTCTCTTCCCTTCTAAGAACACTTGTCATTGGATTTAGGGCCCGCAGAACCCGAACTTCATTACATCTATAAAGACCCTTTTTCCAGATAACATCTCATTCACACATGTTGCCAGCAGACATCTCTTTTGGGGGGGCCACCATTCAAACCACAGCAGATTCTAAGCTCCATGTGTATTAAAACAAAAAGTGACAGTCTTCCTAGTTTCAATTCATCCCATCAACTGAGCTAGAGATTCAGCAGATGGGGCCATTCTTGTCCAAGACTCCAAGGTCACGCGCTGACACACTTGCCTCCGTCTGTTGGCCACCAACCAGATAACTGTGTGTCCAGGGTCACAAGAAGGGAGGGGGAAAAGTGCTGACCTGTGAGCAAGAACATTTGCCGTGATGCAAAAAAACAGATCTGTGTGCATGCTGCCCTGGGACGGGTCTGGGGACCAGTACCGACGTCCCACACGCCATGAGTAAAATGTCTCACGAGGTTAATTTGAGGGAAAACAAGACTGGCTGTGTTCATGGTCAGTGAACCATTGTTGAAGCATTCATTTTGTCCTCTGCTTCCCCAGCCTCTCATTAACATGATAGTAAATAAATAAGAAACGTTAATGACACAGCAAAGAAGAAAATAGGAAGAGAGCCTTTGGCCGATAGGAAGTTGCTTTCTATCTTCCTGAAGTTGGTTGCAAGAGTTGTCTGCTGAGGTGATGGGGGACGTGCCACCTGGAGGATGCAGGGAGGGGGCTGTGGCCTGGGAGACCAGCTGCATAAATGAAGTGGCATGGACCAGGGATGAATGGAGCACCTGTGTACAGGAAGCTCCACTCCCTCCCCTCGCCTCCTAGGCCGTGTAGCCAGGCATTCACTACGCATGGGTAAAATAAACATTGCTGTTGCAGAAATCAAATGAGCTTTCTGGGGAAAACCAGGAAAACATGCATGAGGGTTGATGCTCAGAGCAAATCCCACCAAGTTGTGGCATTGAGAGAGCTCCCTGCGAAGCTGGCTTCTCCCCGACTCACCCTCAAAGAAGCCCATCAGCTAAGGAGCTGTGCCTTCAGGGAGAACTTCACAAAACAGACAGAATGAACCTGTGTGCCTGCCTAAGCTGCCTCGTGCAGAGCTTGGCAAGCCAGGGCCAGCGAGCTAAGAGTGGTTTTACTTTTTTTTTTTGCGGTAGGCGGGCCTCTCTCTGCGGTGGCCTCTCCCGTTGCGGAGCACAGGCTCCGGACGCGCAGGCTCAGCGGCCATGGCTCACGGGCCCAGCCGCTCCGTGGCATGTGGGATCTTCCCGGACTGGGACACGAACCCGTGTCCCCTAGCATCGGCAGGCGGACTCTCAACCACTGCGCCACCAGGGAAGCCCCGGTTTTACATTTTTACATAGTTGAAGAAGAAGGAGAAGAAGGGAGAGGAGGAAGAGGAAGGGGAAAAGGAGGAGGATGGGGGGGAGAAAAGTGAGGAGCGGGAAGTAGAAGCTTATGTGGCAGAGACACACGTAGCCCACAAAGCCTAAAATATGTATCAGCTAATGCTTTACGGAAAGTTTGCCGACCCCTGCATCTAAATGATGAATATTCATCCAATGGTCCCCAGATTGCAGGAGGGAAGAGATGACGTCAGGCTTGCCTTAGTTTGATTTATTTCAGGTCACAGAAATTCAAATAAAGCTACATACTCTTTTTTGTCTGTTTGTCCAGAGTATACTGTAAATGGACATCTTGAGGACTGTATTTCATAAGATCAAGTATGCAAAGGGATCTATATAGTGTCTAACAGAGCACATTCAGCTGATATTAATACAGTGCCTTGTGTTTAAAATTTGCTCATTGCGTATTGATCCATTCGAATTTTGTTTTATCTAGGGGGAAGATTTTAGATTTTCACTATTCAGGATTTTTTTTCTCACTATGGTCTCTTTTTAAAATTTATTTATGTTTATTGAAGTACAGTTGCTGTACAATATTATATAAGTTACAGGTGTACGGTATAGTGATTCTCAATCTTTAAAGGTTATACTCCATTTATAGTTATTATAAAATATTGGCTATATACCCCATGTTGTACAATATAACCTTGTAGCTTATCTTACTGCTAATAGTGTATACCTCTTACGTCCCCACCCCTGTAGTGCCCCTCCCCACTTCCCTCTCCCCACTGTAACCACTAGTTTGTTCTCCATGTCTGTGAGTCTGTAAAGCTACGTTAGTCCTTACCAGAAACCTTTAGGAAGTTGACTTGAGAAGCGGGTCATTTATAACTAGCCCATCCATTGTTTGTGGGCAAATTCACACATCAAATGGCATGAGATGAGCCACCTTTGGAACCAGATGATTCTATTTGTTTGGAAAATGAAACACTCTGCTTCGGAATCAGCGCTAACTGGAGACTCGAACGTGGCACCGCTCCCGGCAACCTCATTAATTAGCCCAACGGGCGCCAGCCCATGGGGGTGAGGGCTCAGGCTCTAGAAAATGCTGTATCTCCAGTTGCCTTTGCTTCCCGGGGGGGGGGGGGGAGGGGTCAACCGCCAAAGGCACGGCTCTGAAGAGCGGCTCCGATGCCGACCTTGTTGTGTTCGCGGACCCGCTGAAAAGCTACACCTCCCAGAAAAACGACAGATGCAACATCATCAAGGAAATCCATAAGCAACCGGAAGCCTGTCAGCGGGAGAAGGATTTTGAAGTGAAGTTTGAGATTTCAAAATGGAAGGCTCCCCGGGTGCTGAGCTTAACTCTGAAATCCAAAGTCCTCAACGAAAGTGTTGACTTTGATGTGCTGCCTGCATTTAATGCCCTAGGTAAGACTCCTAAGGTTTGAGCTTCTGGAGGAGGAAGAGGGATTCTGGTGTGATGGGGGGAGGTGGTGGAGCGGGAAGTCACGTGACTTACTGATCGGACCTGGTCCAGTGCCCCAACAGGTGGCATTCATAATGACAGCAATACCTTACACCTGTATACATTTTCATTCTCATTTATTTTAATCCTACGACGGCCAGAACCCACATCTTATACTCCCATGGTGTCATTCACAACATCTATCAAAGAATGGGGTACACGGGAATTCAGTACACATTTATAGATAAAATGCCTCAAGTAGTAGGGAAGGAAATGAAAAAAACAGACTGTGGGAGAAATTCTGAGGCAAAGACAGGAAATCTGGGTGTTCGCCTTCCATCTTAGGCAAAAACTCCTTTAGAAATTCAATTCGTGAGTGACAGATACACAATGGTGTATTAAAGAAACCAAGGAAGGGCTTCCCTGGTGGCGCAGTGGTTGAGAGTCCGCCTGTCGATGCAGGGGACACGGGTTCGTGCCCCAGTCCGGGAGGATCCAACATGCCACGGAGCGGCTGGGCCCGTGAGCCATGGCCGCCGAGCCTGCGCGTCCGGAGCCTGTGCTCCGCAACGGGAGAGGCCACAACAGTGAGAGGCCCGCGTACCGCCAAAAAAAAAAACAAACCAAGGCTATTTCAGGCATTTTCCAAATCAAAATGAAGAAGACTCTGGTACCTTCCCTCTGAATGGTTCTTAGGGTCTTTAGAGAGGAAATGACAGTATATAGATAGGGGGTCAGCTAACTTTTTAAATAAAAGGCAAGATAGCAAATATTTTCAGCTTTAAGGACCATAAGGTATCTGTCACAACTGCTCAAGTCTGCCTTTGTAGCTTGAAAACAGCCACAGACGATACATTAATAAGTGGGCATGACTGTGTTCCGATGAAACTTTATTTACAAAAACAAGCAGGCGGCCAGATTTAGTCTGGGGGCCAGAGTTGGCAAACTTCAGATCAGCACTGTCTAGAAGGCCTTTCTGGGATAACGAAAATGTCCTCTATCTGTGTTCTGTATCTATTGAGAGCTTGAAATGTTGCCAGTACGAGTAAGGAACTAAATTTCTCATTTGATTTTCCTTTAATGAGTTTGAATGCAAATAGCCACCTTGGCTGATGGCTACCCTGTTGGACAGTGCAGGTCTAGATAAACGCTTTAATAATAAATACCACCTATACTCATATAAACCATGTAACTTTTAATATCTCATTACTCTGGAGATGCCCCCGATATCTTAGACATCAGTAATTCACATACACTAATAGAGTTCAAAATAATTTCCCAGAATTAAATTATAGTTGTCAACAGTGTTTTGAAATCTGTTACTTTCTATACAGATTAAAGCATAATGTAAATTTCTTCCGCATGTTAGGTGAACTGAAGTCTGACTCTACACCCAGCCCCAGGATCTATGCTGACCTCATCTATTTGCATAAATCCTCAGACGCCCTGGGGAGAGAATTTTCTACCTGTTTCACGGAGCTACAGTGCAATTTCGTTTGCTCCCGACACACCAAACTGAAGGATTTGATTTGCCTGACTGGTACAAATGGGTACGACAGCTCTTGTCCTGGCCACCTGGTTATTATTTTTATCAGTACTCTGTGACCATGAAACCGGCACTTGTGCTCACTGTCTCCCATGCTGGGGGCTGGACCACATTACAGAATCTTCCCATGCCTAACCCTGAGTATCTTTGTGGAGTTCCCATCACTAACCCCATTGAGATGGGTCAGATGTAAGCATCTCCTCCCAACAAAGCTGCCACACATGGTTTATTTTGCTTTTTCTCTGACATCCAAAGAATTCTGCAGGAATCCAAGTTATCGTGCCTCCAAAGGGCAGATGAAGTTGGGATTTTCATGCCTGCAAGTCACCAGCGTGGCTTATCTGCTGCTAGGTGTCCATAATTAATAGACACAGATGCTACCTCTTGGAAGGCAGGTTGAAGCGACAGGCAGCAGCAGGGGCTGCATTTTCTATACTGGTTCGCCTCCCTCCACTTCCATCCGTCTGCCACAGGGTAGTTTCTAAGTATTCTCATGACAGCAGACACCCAGCACAACAGCACCTCTTTCAGGAGATGTCTCCTTTCTGTGTCCAGCTTCCTGAAACCCGAGGAGACTGAACCCTGTGGTTTCCACGTCTACACCCAGCCCCAGGGTGCTCAGAGTGCTCAGGGCTGCAGGGTGACCTTGAGCAAGTCGCTTCACTTCCCCATGACTTCAGCATGGCGACCTCTGCCCGCTGTGTAGGGATGCTGGGGGATCAGGAGTGAATGACGTAGGTGGAATGTCTGGCCCCATAATTAGCACACAGTGGGTCTTTAGTAAATGGTACTATGTTATAACTCTAGGACGGTACATACAGCCAAAGCACAACAAAGAAGCCTGCGTGGGCTGCCTTTAAGCTGCAAAGTGACCCTTCCCAGACCAGTCCCAGCGCTGCGTCTCGAGACCTGGGTGCCCTACTGCGGCCCCAGCAGTCCTTCACGTGCACCCTCTAAGGCTCTTGCTACGCTCATTTCGCCTTCCTGCTCTAACCAGTATCGTCTGATGTTCCCACCCTTCCCTCAGTGTGGAAGCAAACTGAAGCAAAAGGGGTCTCTGCCCCCCAAATATGCCTTGGACCTGCTTACCATCTACGCCTGGGAGCAGGGGAGCGGGGCGCAGGATTTTGACACGGCTGAAGGTTTCCGGACGGTCCTGGAGTTGGTCACAAACTAGCAGCATCTCTGTGTCTTGTGGATGGTCAGCTACAACTTTGATGATGAGATTGTGAGGCGCTTCCTCCCGACCCAGATCCAGAGAACCGGGTGCCCCAAACCTCAGCCCCCTCCATTTCTTAACCTGATTCCCTCCAACGCTATTTTGGTGACCTGAATTCACCTCCCGTGGGGTCCTGATCCATTATTCCTCCTGTGAAACTGAGAAGGGAATGTGCTGACCGTCAGAACCGCCCACAGTCTCCAGGGGTAAAATCCCAGGGAGGCAGGAGAAAGGTCATCAGGAGGAACAAAGAAGGAAGGACCAAGGTACCAGGTCCCTGAGTTGCTTTCATCTTTCTAGGTCAGAAGGAAAAGCATGGATTCATTAGCAGGTCTAAAAGGTGTGGAAGTTGGAAGTGTATTCCTGAGAAATAATGCTATTATTCTCTGCTGGTGTATCCTGCAGGCTGTTTATTAGATCAGGTTTTATCTCCCCTTTCCAACCTCCATCCCACAAAACCTTTATCCTTCAAGAATAGGAAGGAATCTTAGTGTATCCACTCAGCACCAGCAGCAGGGAACCAAAACAGTGGAAGCAAAAGAAAAGAGAAGAGAGAAAAGAAAGAAACATGGAGAAAGAATAGAGGAGAAAAAAAAAAAGACAACAAGATACCCTGGCTTGCCTACCATGGGTGTGACCTACTTGACAGTAGAGTTGATTAAATGATACATTATATTTCAGTTGCCCTAGCATGGAGAGATGTTTATAGAATGCCTTCATGTGTATAAGAATGAACAGCTTTCAAAACTTTTCTGACAAATATGATTTAATTCTAGGAAATCACTTTGAACTGTATTGGTACATTTGCATTACGGACATCTAAGCTAGAAAGACACATTGTTTTATTACGAAGAGTAGAATGGGCCCCCAATTCTGAGGCCACTGGTTCTAAAAAGCATGCCTCTAATGACTTCTAATCTCTCGTTTAGGCCTGTGATCTTGGACCCAGCCGATCCTACTGGCGACGTGGGTGGAGGGGACCATTGGTGTTGGCATCTTCTAGCAGAAGAAGCTACTGAATGGCTGTTGTCTCTCTGTTTCCGAGACGGGTCGGGTTGTCCCATACAATCGTGGAACGTGCCAGTAAGAATCATCTAAAGGAAGTGTCATCTGGAGATTACCCTGGGACAGGCCGAAATCAAAGAGCTTCCCTGCTATGGCAACTTGGGATTCACTCAGCCACAAATAACAGATAACCCAACTCAGGAGCCTAAACGACTGGGTTTTTTCTTCCCATAACAAGAAATCCTAAGGCAGGCGACCTAGGACTCGCACAACAGCTCCACTGGACTTTCCCCAGGAGCAGATCACCTCCACCGTGGCACTTGGTACTGGGGGCTGGATAGCTCTTCGTGGTAGGGGCCGTCTTGGGCAGTGTTAAGTCTCTACCCACCAGATGCAGTAGCACCACCCCCGAGTGCAACAACCAAAAATGCCTCCAGACGTGACCAAGGGTCCCCTGGGGCACACTCATCCCCAGCTCTTCCTAGCTCCACCCTCTTTAGTTGTTCATTTGAGTCTTCGTGGCACTGAGAGTGGCTATTGCACCTCCAGGTGGCGGGTCCATGGTGAGGTTGGAGGAACAGAAAGGGGGAGGATACCCACCCAGGTAGCTTATTAGAAGCTTCATCCAGCAAACTCTCTTACTCAAGCTGCAGCTACCTGTACCCGAAAAGTGGCTCCAGAAAGGGGGGTGAGAGTTGGGTCAGCCAGCCAAGAGTGCCTGCCACCCCTGTCCAAAGCTCCACCGCCAACCAAGATACCTGCCACCAGGTATACTTGGTTCCCCCATCAGGTTCTCTGTCAACAAGTACCCAAAACTGTCCCTGGTAGTAGTCACCTTCTCAGATACGCTTCCTTCTTTCTTTTTGGTTTTTTTTTCTGTCTCTTTTAACCAATGGTTCTAACTGCTTGGAGATGTATTATTCTCGCACGTATATTTCTTTCTTTCTAGACAGGGCAGTCACCAGGAAGCTGGGGAGCAGGGACACATTCTATTGTCAGTGAGATGCACTTATTCAGGAGGTGTAGATTCCTGGAATAATAATGCTGGAAGAAACTTCTAGAGACCACCAGGCAACTGCTTTTTTTTTTTATGGTTAATAAACTACAAAATTTACAAACCCAAGCCTGAATGAACGGTATTACTCTACTTCATATTATCATTATTGGTATAACGTATTAGCCATGACTGATAGCAAAAATCATTGTACATAATAAATATTGTGCTTTATTTAGAAAGATGACTTATAAGCACTGCTGTAGGCCTGCTAGATAGGGCTTTGATTTTCTAATAATACTATTAAGTTATCTAATCTATTCAAAATAGCTTGACCGATGGCCACAATCTATGTTTTTCAGGTGACTGGTATGATTAGAAATTTGGCTTACGACTAAGGCACGAGGCTGTTTTCTAGGAAAAGTTATTATCATCGTCAATGGGTCGGCCCACAAAGTTTATTTGTCCTCGCAAACACTGTCTGAAGCACGACGCCCCCTCTGCCCGCTCTGTTCGGCAGAAGAGGAGAGCGGAAATCCCACCATGTGCTTTATACCATGACTGGCCACATTCAGGCCCCTTGAGGAGGCGGTTCTGAGGAGCTAAACTCTGGTCCTCTTCCTTCTCTGTAATCTCATCTGAACAATTTAATGCACGTCCATGGCCTCCCCCACCCCTGACAGGCAGTTGCTTTTAAAGAATCGGTCACTGTGTGAAAGAGTAGCCCATTCTTCCCTTGACGGCCCCCACTGCTCCTTCCCTCGCTTCTTCAACTCCTCTTGAAATCAAGACCTCCACGTCCTTCGTAAAGCCTCACCTCGCCTTGCTGAAGTCTCGTTCCGTGTGTGAGCTCCGTTATTAAAAACATTTGCTCTCGTCCAGGTTTATGTGCACGGTATTTGTCAACCATTCTGTATTTTCCCAATTACTAACTCCTTCCTTTTCCTCCAAGTCTTAGAAGAGGGATCTTTTCCCAAAGTGAAGCCCTTCACCTGCCCCTTTATTCCCATAATTCCATGATCTTTTGCTCTCACACACTTCCTCCAGAGCAGGAAGTCATCATCCGGAGAAGGGAGAAAGCTCAGCTGTTGTGCTGGGGGTGCTGGTCAGGAAAAGGGATCCTTCCCCAGGACTTGGCCATGGTGATGCCAGAATAATGGGAGAACAAGATAGCCAGTGGGTGACCCCTATGAGCTCTGACAGCGAGAGGGGAAACTGCCACAAACCACAAGAGACCTGGGAAAGCAAGAGGGGGGTGTGGCAGGTGGAATAATTACCCCCCAAAGATGTCTGCATCCTAATCCCTGGAACCTGTGAATATGTTACCTTACGTGGCAAAGGGACTTTGAAAATGTGATTAAGGATCTGGAGATGGGGAGATGATCCTGAGTTATTCAGGTGGGTTCAGGTGGGTCCCATCTAATTCCGCAAGCCCTTAAAAGCAGAGAAGCAGTCCCACCTGAAGTCAGAGAGACTCAGCTCAAGAAGAGGCAGGTGAGGGATCGGAGCCGTTGTTGCCGGCTCGAAGGGCCGAGTCAGGGAATGTTCTAGGCTTCTAGGAGCTGACAGCCGCAAGGAAACAGGAACCTCTGTCCTGCAGTCACGTGGACCTGGACTCAGCCAACGAGCGGAGTGACCTGTAGGCGGACCCTCCCTAGAGCCTCCAGGTAAGGAACGCAGCCCGGCCAGCGCCTTGATTTCAGCCTTGTGCCGCCCAGAGCAGAGACACCAGCCAGGCGTGCTGGGCCTCTGACCACGGAACTGTGAGCTGATGAACTTGTGTGGTCTTGAGCCACTAAATGTGTGATCGTTTGTTTCAGCGGCTGCTGCCTCACAGGCAGGTGGCAGTAAGCAGCTGGGGGCCTGGGCCCAGAGGGGAGTCGGCCTCCCCTGCTCCGGGACCAGTCACTCCATGCCTGCCCAGCCTGTGTCCAGGGAAGGCGACTCACACGTAAGAGGGAAAACTCTTTTTTTCCTCGGCCTTCAGTATTTCTGACACCAGTCCCAGTGCTTCTTTCTTTTTTTTTGGCTGTGCTGCACGGCTTGTAGGACCCCAGTTCCCCGACCAGGGATCGAATCTGGGCTCTTGGCAGCAAAAGTGCCCAGTCCCGACCGCTGGACCCCCGAGAATTCCCAATACTTCCGACACCAGATTGGGAGTGGGGGGATTTTCTCACACTGAGCAATTCTCCGACACCAGCTGTGTGTCCCACAACTCAATTCAATCCTGACCCTCTCTACCCGGAGTCCATGGCAGACGCCACGGGTGAGGGGCTCAGTCCCACAGTACGGCCGCCACCTCCACTTCAGGGTCCAGGCCTCCGGTACTTCTAACCAACTAGTTATAAATCGGGGGTTCCCACGACCCCCTCCTCAGGCTCAGTAATCTTCTAGAATGGCTCCCAGAACCAGAAGAGCAGTTTACTTACTAGATTACCAGCTTATTATAAAAGGCTATAACTGGGGGAGAGCTGGCGAGGGCTCTCCTCCTGCCTTGCAGGTGGCTGCCTTTTTGGTGTGTCTTCACATGGGGAAGAGAGATCTTTACTATCCCTAATTTTCCCCTCATTTCCTCCACCTGCAGTATTAAAGGAAAATGCTGGTTTTCGTGTGTGTGTGTGTGTGTGTGTATTTTTTTCAGATTATACATTTAATTCCGGTGTATTAGAGAATTTTGAAAAAAATGAAACCCACTTCTAATGGTCACCCCTGATCCCTACCACCCAGGAAGGATCTCGGTTAACCTTCCATCTGTTTTTCTATGCACCCATACAAATACATGTATATTTAGAAAGATGGAATCATCATGCTTCTATTATAGAGCATCTCGCTTCCGCCACTTAGTACGGAATCATGGATACTTTCTCATGTCATCACGAGAATGACATGTCCTTTCTCATGTTCTTTGAAAACACCATAATATTCCGTCATGTGGATGTCATTGTATCCCATCATATGGATAAGTCATCATGGGGATGTAATTTAGTCATTCTCTTTTGTTGAACATTTTCGAAAAAGATTTTGCCTTTTGAAAAACGGCCACAACACACCTGTCTGTACGTAAACCTTTGTTTCTTTTTTTTTAATTGAAGTATAGTTGATGTACAATTTTATATAAGTTACAGGTGTATAATATAGAAAAATGTTGGTATTCTAACAATTCCATAGCTATTCTTACATTGAGCGTGTCCACCCATGGGCCTCGGGCAGCTTCCCACTCATAGTCAGTCCCGGGTCCACCATGTGCAACCCATCTTTTCCTCCACTCCTGAACTGTTTGTAGACGTGCTTTTGCTGCCATCTCGTGGTCTTCGAGAGAATTAAACTAGCCTGTGCAGAAAGCAGGAAAGTCCTAGAAAATGGTTAGCGCTTAAAGCCACTGTGGTGCAATCGCAGGAGGTTCATTCTGAGTCATGATCTATGCGATAAAGCATCTTTCAGCAAGCTATTATTTCCACATACCGTTCGTTAACTGCTCACTAATAGAGAAGGAAAAGCAGACCAAAGGCTCTGAAACAACTTTTGTCTTTTAATTCGGCTTCCCCCAAGCCTAGGGACACTGGATAGATTCTACTGAAGTAATCTGTGGTATTTCTGAAATCATTCTATGCTGTGTCTATTAGAGAAATGAGTCTTTCCCATCGACCTCAAATTTGACCATTAGGGATTCAAGTCTTTGAGTTCTGTAGGCATTCCCACTTTTAAGAGTCCCCTATTAAAATGGTAATCAGGAGATCCTAAAAAAATAAATGGAGTTTTGTTCATGAATTGGGAGATTTAACATTGTTAAGATAACAATACTACCCAAAGGGATATACAGATTAAAGATTCAGTGCAATCCCTGTCAAAATCCCAACGGTATTTTTTTTTTTTTTTTTTTTTTACAGAAATGGGAAAACTCATCCTGGAATTCATAAGGGGTTTCAAGGGACCTAGATTTCAAAACTGGTACAAAGTGACTGTAATCAAAACAGAGTAGTATTTGCAGAAGAATAGACATATAGACCAATAGAACAGAATTGAGAGCCCAGAAATAAAGGCTTACATTTACGGTCAGTTGACTTTCGACAAGGGTGCCAAGATCGTTCAATGAAGAAAAATGTTCTCTTCAACAAATGGTGCTGAGAAAACTAGATATCCACATGAAAGAATGAAGTTGGACCCCTTCTTTATACCATACACAAAAATTAAAGTGGATCAAGGACCTAAAGTTTAAGAGCTAAAACTATAAAACTGTTAGAAGAAAGCCTAGAGGAAAATTTGCATGACCTTGGATTTGGCAATGGTTTCTTTTTTTTTTAATTAATTAATTTATTTATATTTGGCTGCATTGGGTCTCCGTTGCTGTGTGGGGGCTTTCTCTAGTTGTGGCGAGTGGGGCTGCTCTTTGTTGCGGTGCGCATGCTTCTCATCGCAGTGGCTTCTCTTGTGGAGCACAGGCTCTAGGCACACAGGCTTCAGTAGTTGTGGTGAGCAGGCTCAGTAGTTGTGGCACACAGGCTTCAGTAGTTGTGGTGAGCAGGCTCAGTAGTTGTGGCGCGCAGGCTCAGTAGTTGTGGCACACGGGCTTAGTTGCTCCGAGGCATGTGGGATCTTCCCAGACCAGGGCTCGAACCCGTGTCCCCTGCATTGGCAGGTGGATTCTTAACCACTGCGCCACCAGGGAAGTCCCTGTTGGGGACTTCAATGGTTTCTTAAATATGACCCCAGAAGCACAGGTAACAAAAGAAAAAGATGAATTGGACTTCATTAGATTAAAATCTTCCGTGCCTCAAAGGACAGCATCAAGAGAGTAAAAAGACAACCCACATGATGGGAGAAAATATTTGCAAATAATACATCTAATAAGGGTTTAAAATCCAGAATATATAAAGAACTCCTACAACTCAACCACAAAAATACAAAAACCCAGTTAAAAGGTGGGCAAGGGACTTGAATAGACATTTCTCTAAAGAAGATATACAAATGGCCAATAAGTACATGAAAAGATGCTCAGCATCATTAGTCATTAGAGAAATGCAAATCAAAACCACAGTGAAATACCACTTCACGTCAATTAGGATGGCTATAATTTTAAAAAGAAAAAAGAATATAACAGTTGGAGAGGATGTGAAGAAATTGGAACTCATGTACATT